AGATAGGTAAATCTATATTGATCACATGTCAGGGGAATATTAGGGATCTTAACTTGGAATACAAATTGCAAAACATGTTATCTGAGGCTGGACTACCAATTAAGGTTGAAGAAATTCCATCTGATGACGATGGCACTACTGCTTGCACGCCAAGTCCTCCAAATGAAAGTTCCGTTGATATATTTGATGAGTGGATGATCTCAGGAAAATGTTTTAGTAGATATATTGATCTAGGTGTGGAAACTACTAATAGAGTTCCCACAACACAAGATGCAAGCCAAGTGACTCAATGTTTGGAAAATGAAGATCTGGTAAAATTCTAACACTTGTGTGTATGCAAATTAACTTTGTAATGTATTTAATATATGATATACTATTGGGTGACATGACAGGTGGCTTCAAGAGAAGCATCAGCTCCATTGCATCCTGGTGAAAGAACGTCAAGTCATTCAGAAAGTTCTATCCAAGTGGTTGATTGGACTAGTACTGAGAGGACTCCTATGTTCAAAAAGAACACTCCAAGTTAGGAAGACCATATATTCTGTTGGATATAATTTTGTAGAACTTTTGGAGCTATATGTTCTAAATATATGTTAACTAGAAATCAGCCACTCCAAGTTAGGAAGACCATATATTCCTGTTGACATATATGTTCTTTTCGACCACTGTCTTATATGGGTGCTATACTATGTAAAATATGGTCATGCTGTCAGTGGTTGAATGGCGTGTTACTTTACTTTGTACTGACTTACTATATTAATGGATTTTTATGTTGCCAACTTACATCCCATTTGAATGAGCGCATGCTATTTACTTCAGTTTATTGCCACGATATGTGTGTGTTGTAGGGAACAAATCCCTGTTTAAACATGTGCTCAGATACATCCTACAAATAGCAGTACAGCAGCAATTCTGTTGTGTAAATCAAATCATATGAAAAATTGATAAGGTAATTCAAATTGAACTGTCTGTACTCTCAAATAAATACTTCAAAAACAACGTTCGTTGAGCTCCATTCATGTTCAAAGCCAACCAGAAGAATGTCCTATTCCTGGACAACTATAAGCTAAATTGACACTGTAATTTATAGATAGACTACACGATGCGTAAAACTATATGGTGCCAGAGGGTCCATCAACATGTGTTCTGCTCGACGTTGCACCTACAAAACAATCAAAGAGAGTCATATATCAAGTAAAAGTTAACTAACCATTATAATGCATATAATTCCCATTGTTTGCTACCTAAATTGTCACTATCTCTTGTGGAACGGTGTGCCTGGTGTCCAAGTCGTCTTCCTTGCATTTCATCCATGTACATTGGTATCCTGTTATGCTGACGACGGCCTAGATTTATCTGTCTAGGATCAGGAACAATTATTGGACCAGTAAATGGTGGCCATTCAATTTGATTTCCATAAGGAAGAAATTGTATAGCCCAGGTACTAGCAAGTGCTTGAGAAGAGTAGAATGGATTGATCAACTGATTTTCATTAAGATTTCTATGTTTGCAAACTGCCAAGACATGAGCACATGGAACACCTGTCAAATTTGGCTTTTGACAGTCACAAGATGGTGTGTTGTTGGGTTGCAAAACTACCTTATACTTGAAGTCCCTCCATGTGTAAACCTCATGGTTTCCTTGTTGCATTGGGACTAACTCATTGTCGACCTTTACCTCATATATTCCAACTTCATCTCCATACGAGATTACATTCATATGTCCAGCCTTATTTCCTCGCTTCACTAATAGCTTATCAACCCTTTGAGACCATTGCTTGCCATTGTTAAGTAAATTAACAGCATTTCGCCTTCTCTCAACAAACCATTCTAAGCACTTTGAAAATGTTTCCTCCACAATGGCTGCCACCGGTAACCTCCGAGAAAACTTAAACACATTGTTCAATGACTCAGATCCATTGCTTGTCATGATTCCCCAACGATATCCTCCATCCTTGCATTGAAATACCTTCTCGAGCTTTTCTTGCTCATCTTTATCTTCATGCAAGTACTTTCCAACATTTTTAATATATGTTATTGCCTCAGGACAAATATTTGCAATTGATCACATTCCTTCATCAAATTTTCTAGGTTTCTTTTTCTTCACTGTCCACTTAAATGTCTTGAGCATTATTTCATTGCGACAAAATTTCCATAGATTCTCAGCTACATGCTGTGAGCAAAGGCGGTGCACACATTCACCGGCGCTCTCATTCCATCCAATGTGGGGCTGCTTAAACAACCATTTCATGGCTTTATGTCGATCAGATATAACACACATAAACTTTCCATAGCCTATTACCTCACTTCGTAGCCATCTCATAAACCACCCCTAGTTTGCACTATCTTCCTTCTCCACAATAGCAAATGCAAGAGATAGTAGTTGATTGTTAGCATCATATCCACAAGCAATCAACAATCTATCCTTGTACCTCCCTGACAAAAAGCATGCATCAACACTTATAACTGGCCGTAGGTAGGGAATGACATCGATACAAGGTCCAAATGCCCAAGCAACACTTTTAAATGCTCGCCGTCCTTCCTGAGTCATTGGCTTTGACAAAAGGACATACTTTGTACCTAGGTTTTTAGCTTTTATAGCCTGTAAGAAAGGGATGAGGAGGCCATATGAACCTTCCCAACTACCAAAAAGTTGTGCTATTGCCTTCTCTCTGCCTCGCCATAATTTACTATAAGATGGCTTCACATTTCTATATCTCTGTTGGACTAGTGACCTCACATTTTTTATACTCAATTCCAGATCATCCCTTAATGCATCACGTATCACATTAGCAATCATAGAAGATGATAACTGAGCATGATCAAATCTATCAGCCGGTGCTCAACAGGTGTGAGCATATGGACATTTCCTTATCATCCAACCTGAACCTATCTTTGTGGGAGTTGCATAGAGCCTCCACATGCAGCTATTATCCGTGCATTCAGCTACAAGTTTAGATTGACTACTTGTGTTGTACTTGATTTCTGAATTTTTACATATATGAAACTCACCTATAGCAATTTGTAGGTGCTTTTTTGAATCAAAAGACTTTCCTTCTGCTAGTGGGTTAGAAAATTGATTCTTACGTCCAAAGAAACTCTCGTCTGCTGTTGTCTCCCTCAATATAGATATATCACTAAATGCTTTTATAGGATTTTGTCCAGATGCACGCATAAAAGGAAATGCATTGACAGAATGAACAACTCGTGGTTCTGGTGGCTCATCATCTAAACTATTATCAAGGGCACCATCACAATCCTGCTCGTTGTCATCGTCCAGTCCAAATCTATCCTCACCAACATATGTGTCTTCTGCAGTATTGTCATCATCTATAGTTGGTTGTGTTTTGGAAACCACATTATCCTGGTTGATAGGTTATCCTGGTTGATAGGTGAAGACAACTGAACTGTTGTTGAATGCAGACCATCTACTAAAGTGGGTACAACCTTTGCTTGTGAATGAACTGTACCTGGCTCCAACAAAACACCTGAGCCATCCCTTTCCGAATGCCTAGTTGATGCAACCAAGGTTGTACTATTAACCTGACTTAATCTTGCTTCCGTATAGGCGCATTCAACATAAAGCTCAACAACCTACCCACATGTCTTCTCAAATATCATCCTCCATCCCCTGTCTTCATAAATAGGAATCAATTGAAAATATTGTGGTCCAGGATTTCCGATATCAAACCGAGCTTGGATATTCATTGCACAATGATCCTCAGTGTATCCAAGGGCCTGAAAAATTTCTTTTTTGACTTCCTCAAAGGTTGTAGCCTCCACTGCCGGAAAAGTTATTTTTGGAGGAATATTATATTCTGCACCCTTAGCTCCATATTGTATTCTCCCATCAACATACACTAGAACAATAATCATTTTTTCTCAGTCAAATCTGCAAAACAAACTAAACAAGTTAGCAAAACAAGTTATATAATTAACTTTAAGTTAGATAATAATCTGCTGATATATCCTTTCAAGTTTTAAAAAATGTTGTTTTGCATATTAAAAATGTCAATGAACAATAGTCATTTTATTTCCTGGCTGTGTCTTCCAAACGAACTCAACAATTAACAAAGGCATGGTATATGTCTACTAGTTGGATAATAATCTATACATATATTCAATAAAACACTCATGTCATATATCAAGTATAGATATGAACAATGTAGTACATATCAATTAATGCTAATTAGATGAGGGTGAGCAAAGACATGCTATAAGTGAAAAGACATGCATGCGTGATATAAATTGCAGGGCAAACCTGTTGCTCACGACGAGAGAGCTGCCAATGCACACGGCGCCGTGGCTGGATTGCAGGATTGGTGGCGCCGTAAAACACGGACAAATCGAAGGCCCCGGCGTCGACGACGAGAGTGGCTTGGACGACAAAGCGGATGGATCAAAGTCGTAGAGAGGGTGAACTCGTATATGAGTTACGACGATGTGTGGCCGGCTGCCGGCATGCGCGATCGAGCGCTCATCGCTAGAGTTAGGGTTTTCTTTTGATTGTCAAGGTTTTCTTTTGATTGTTCTCACTCTATTCGTGGCTTGGCTGCACCAGGGAGGTGGACGTTGGTTCCAACAGCGTCCAAGTATGGACGTTGTTTACAACGGCGTCCAATTCTGGATGCTTTCTGTATTAGCGTCCATCCTACTCCTGTAAATCCCCCCAACGATTTACTAATTATTTAATTTAAGGGTAATTGTTTATTATAAATAAAAAATTCGGAACTCAGGATGGTGGTGATCATGCGGGTAAGCATTCGCAATCTAAGAAGCAAGCAAGAGAAGTTAGGAGCTTATGGTTCTTCCACACTTAGAATTGAACTATCATCATTACTTTCACCCTTATTTTGTTGGGATTCTCCTGATCTATTTTTAGATGTTCTCATTGCCGCCTCCTTTGTTTGCACACACCCCAACAACAACCACAACGCGCTATGGCGCCTCCTATGGATAGCGCAATGTCTCTCACGAGCTCCCCCATTGCCGCCCCTTTCTCTTCCTCCTTCCTTCCACCTCACCCCAACCCCAACCCCAACCCTGGCCCCGTCCCGCGCGTACGGAGGAGGGGCCCATGCATGCATGCGGGTGAGGTGACAAGGACGCGGCCACGGGGATCACCGGCGCACCGACCGGGATGTTGAAGGTGAGGTGGTTGCCGTTCAAGAAGACCCATCTCGCCCGCAGCAACGCCTCCGACGCGTCCTCCCCCACCTCCGCCGCCGCCGCCACCGCCACCGCCGTCACCACCCACCGCCTCTACCAAGTCTGGAGGGGCAGGAACGTACGTTTTCAAAAACGAATTCGGACAAAATTCGTGCGTTTCCACATTAAAAGGAGCCCATATATTTTGTTGTTGTTGTTGTGTGTAGAGATTCCTGTGCGGCGGGCGGCTCATCTTCGGCCCGGACGCCAGCTCCATCGTGCTCACCGTGTCGCTCATCATGACGCCGCTCGCGCTCTTTGTCGCCTTCGTCTCCTTCCACCTCGCCGCCCTCATCGGGAAGCCGCTCGGCCAGGCCGTCCCGGCCGTCGCCATCGCCGTCGGCGTATTCGTAAGCCCGGCCACCACCATTTCTGCGTCGCTCGAGCAAAATGAAGCAATTGACCGATCACTTTGCGTGCATGCGTGCGTGAAGGACGTGATCGTGCTGGTGATGACGTCGGGGCGGGACCCGGGGATCATCCCGCGGAACGTGCGGCCGCCGGAGCCCGAGGACATCGGCGTGTCGTCGCCGGCGTTCGGCGGCGGCGGGTCGCTCCCGCCGACGCGCGACGTGTACGTGAACGGCGTGGTGGTGAAGGTGAAATACTGCCACACCTGCCTCCTCTACCGCCCCCCTCGCTGCTCCCACTGCTCCGTCTGCAACAACTGCGTCGATCGCTTCGACCACCACTGCCCCTGGGTCGGCCAGTGCATCGGCAAGGTAGGCCGTCTTCTCCGTCTCCGGCGGCGACCATCTCCGACGTGCTGACCAACTGTTCGATCCATTGCCTCGCAGAGGAACTACAGGTTCTTCTTCATGTTCATCTCGTCGACGACGTTCCTGTGCCTGTACGTGTTCGTCTTCTGCTGGGTGAACCTGGCGATGACCGCGAGGCAGTTCGGCTGCAGCATGGGGCGCGCGGTGGTGGAGTCGCCGGTGTCGGGGATCCTCATCGTGTACACGTTCGTGACGGCGTGGTTCGTCGGCGGCCTCACCGCGTTCCACTCCTACCTCGTCTGCACCAACCAGACCACGTACGAGAACTTCCGCTACAGGTACCAATGTTTTAAATAGCGGGCTAAAACATTTAGCGGTTACTTCTTAAACAGCTATAGCAGGCTAAATTGAGCTATAGCGGCTAATTTGTACTCTCTCCGTATTTTAATGTATGATGCCATTGACTTTTTGATAAACGCTTAATCTTTCGTTTTATTAAAAAAAATTATGTAATTATAATTTATTTTATTGTGACTTAATTTATCATCAAATATTCTTTAAGCATAACATAAGTATTTTTTATTTGCATAAAATTTTTGAATAAGTTGAGTGGCTAAACGTTGGTTAAAAAATCAACGGCGTCATATATTAAAATATGGAGGGAGTACACGAGAGCAAATAGCTCGAATCCTTCTCAAACAGTTATAGCGGGAGATAAGCAGCAGTTTAGCGAGAGATTTTAAACCTTGACAGGTACGAGCGGAAGGCGAACCCGCACAACCGCGGCGTCGCCAAGAACGTCGCCGAGATCTTCCTCTCGCCGATCCCGCCGAGCCGGAACGACTTCCGGTCAAGGGTCGCCGTCGAGCACTACTACGCCGCCGGCGCCGGGGCGGCGTCGGGGCAGTACTTCTACTCCTACTCGATCGGGCCGCTCTCGTCGGAGTCCAAGGCGGCCAGCTTCAACACGCGGGGGAGCCTCAGCTTCGACATGGCCACGGCGAGCTTCGACCTCGGCGGCGTCGGCGTCGGCGGCGGCGTCGGAGGATACTCCGCCAAGCGCACCAGCGTCGACGTCTGCTCCAACTCCTCCGACTTCGGCGACATCTACGGCGGCGAGCAGCAGCCGCCGCGGCACTCCATCTTCGGCGGCGACGGCGGAGGAGGGAGGACGAGCGTCAGGAAGGCCGACGACGTCCCGACGGAGTTCGGGCACTACGGCGCCGCCGCTGCCGCCGCCGCCGGCGGCGGCGGCGGCCGGCCTCGCGGGAGGGAGTTCGAGGCCGTGTGACGTCGCCGCCGCCGTCGTCTCCAAGTGCGTTGGCGCCATTTTCTTGGGAGCTCGACGATGCAACGCAGCTAATTAATCGATCAATTAATGTAGCGAATTTTTCTCTGTTTTTTTTTGGTGATCTTGTGCTTCCGCTGCTCGTGTGTTGTGTAGTAGCTTTGGTTGATCAGCTTCCTCATGCTTGCTAATGGAGTAGTGGTTTCCATAGCATTCTAGTACTACTTGCTTAACTTGATTTAGTGAAGGTGATGTATACACACACAAATGCACACACACATGGGTTTAATTTTGTGTAATTAGGACTGTGCATATATATAAACGGTGTTCATGAGTTATCCAAACATTATCTTTTGGCATGTACTATGTTTCATATTATAAGTCGTTTTGACTTTTGTCAAATTCAAATTATTTTAAATTTAACTTAAGTTTGTAGATAAATATAGAAATATTTACAACACTTAATTAGTTCCGTTAAATTGAAATAAATCAATAGTTGAATATATTTTTATAATATATTTATCTTAGATTGAAAATGTTACTTTTTCTATAAATTTGATCGAATTTGAAGTAGTTTGACTTTGACAAAAGTCAAAACGACTTATAATCTGAAATGGAGGAAGTAATGTTTCTTTAGAATACAAGAATTTGGCCTTTCTACATCTGATTCCTATAAAAAAAATCCTACAAAATACATAAAAAATTATGTGTAATGAGGCGTTGTGGATGGATGGAAGAAAATGAGAACAAAGAAGGTGTTGCCTGACAAAAAAAATTATTCAACTGTTTCAGTGGGAGAGAGAAATGAGACATTATGAGTATGTCAGCTCCTAAGAACATAATTTTGACACTTCTGTTGACCTAATTAGTTGGTAGAGATACATAATCCTGCTATGCCACTTCAACTTACATTTAATCTTTTTACATATCATGAAAGAACATATAGCCAAAACAAGGAACAGCATGAACCCAGAAAGTTGCTTCGCTGGATTATGGGCTAAAATGAACAACTAAGAGAGTTGCTGCTTGTTGCCTTCACAATTTGGTATCTGACTGAATCCAACGATCAGCTTGTCCCTTTCATACCACTTGCCCCAGAATGGCTATTTTACTAGCATGCAGTTCAACAAGCACCCCATATGCATAAAGTAACCTGAGGTGAGGGACTGATTAATGCATTTAGCGAGAAAGCTCGGCGCTAATTAGCCAACTAACACTATGTTATTGTAGTGCACCTACAATTTCATACTGATCATGATCAACCTTGTAACAGAAGGAAGCAGAGTGCTACTATCTTTAGAGCACCTTGATGCAATGCGTGCAGATCCATCAGCAGCAAAACTTGGGAACCTATTAGTCCTCTTGTATTCCGGCTATTTTACCTGCGGACTTGTAAGGGAGATGGTTAAAAGCACCCATTCAATATGGCCAAGACAATAGTATAACATATATATATGCATGTCTAAAATATTCTCGGCAGTTTTTATGTGGTTCTATGTATTCATAAAATGATTGGATAGAAATACTTAGGTAGGCATTTCTTGACTGCACTCCAAAGAAATTAATCCATCTGTCTATGAAGATTAAACTTACCATATTACGAGAAAACAATCAGGTAATCTATATTTTTGAAAAATAAATCCCAACACCCAATGAACAAAGTATGTTGCTTAACTCCAGTAGCCATGCAGCATTTCTTGTTACTTGAGCTAATGCAACTATGCAAGCTGTAAATTTAGACACTGTGGCTTGCTTGGCTTCTCTCCTCCCCCGAAGGCTTTCTCAGTTTCTTAGGCAACAATGGTGTACATCAAACCTCCATGAGATAGCCTTCAAGGGAGAGAGAGATCCAAGAAAACCGTGCCGTTTAACATCACTTTGAATGTAGTAAGTAGAAGTACTAACCAATGCTTTTGCAGACACATGAATTTGTATCTGCAAAGCACATGGAGTGGAATGACTGGAATATAAGTTTGTGGCAGTATATATAGTGTCCACAAAGCTACTATACATACATAAAACAAATGAGACCAAACTAAAAGGGACAACAGAATCCTGCACTAAATAAAGGGGAGATAATTGTATTGTGGAGTGATAATGTAATTAATGAAGAATCGACTCAACTGCCTAGAAAGCAGAAAGAGATACAAGGCCATGAGGATAGGAGAGCTTTGCCTCCATTAGTTCTAGAAAACTTACATTTAGTACAATGGCACCTTTCCTTCATGATCTTTTGGACAATGGTATCTGACTATGCCGAACAATTGGTCCAACTCATGGTTACAATTGATTCCCACCCTTAACACATAACAGCAGTGCCAATTAACAAATATCATCTATAAAGAGGTTAGAAGACAACGTACATGTCACCACAGGTTCTTAATGTTGAGTGAAATACTAGCTAATCTTATGGTGATACAACATTAGAAAAAAGTCTATTTAATACTCCCTCCGTTTCAGGTTATAAGACGTTTTGACTTTGGTCAAAATCAAACTACTTTAAGTTTGACCAAGTTTGTAGAAAAAAGTAGTAACATTTTCAACCCAAGAAAAATTTATTATGAAAATATATTCGATTATTGATTTGATGAAACTAATTTAGTATTATGAATATTACTACATTTGTCTATAAACTTAGTTAAATTTGAAACAGTTTGACTTTGACCAAAGTCAAAACGTCTTGTAACCTGAAACCAGTGGCGGAACTGAGGGGGGGCTGGCAGGGGCCATGGCCCCTCCCAATAAAAACAATTTTTTTATTACCCCCATATATCATAGCAGATTCAGTGAACAAGCAATAGAGCTTCTCAATTTGTGTACGTCTTTGGATCCAAGTGATTCATTCAGTTCATTCAACATTGATAAAGTGTGCTCTCTAGCTTCAAAGTTCTATCCTGCTGATTTTTTAGAACAAGAGAGCCAATTTGAGATGTCAATTACGTCACTATGAACTTGATGTACCCACCAATCCTAAATTTCAAAATCTGACATCTGTAGCTGATCTTTGTCGTCGACTTTTGCAAACTATTCGCTTTTATGTATTGCCAATGCATGAAAAAAAAGAGAAATTGCTAATTTTTTGAACTGTCAAAAGCCGGCTGGCCCCCCTTTGATTTTCTGTCCAGCTCCGCCACTGCCTGAAACGGAGGGAGTATCAAATTGCTTAGGATAGATGTCCTCCAAAATTTAGAAAAGCCATAAAAGAAGCTTGTTAATGGTCAGACTGAAATGTTCAGTACAAGTAGCTATATGTATATAGTTCTCACCAGTCACCATACAGAAAATTCTAAGAGACTTGTGTACAGATCATACACAGGTGACACTGTTCTAAACCAACAAGTTTTGATCATATTGTCAGCAAAAGTCTAACCACAATACCACAAACACTCACCAAGCCGCATTCAGCTGCAGAAGAACTGGATATTCTCATATAACATTGACAACGGAATCTGGGAGATCAATCGATCATCACATTACAGGTACAAGTGACCCTTTGGACACTAGAGAAGCCAAAGGCTTGTCCACCAATACAAAGTAGCACTAAGTAATAGGTCCCTAAAGTGTTAGATTTGGAAGATAATTGGTACCATAAGTGGTTACTCGTCAGTGTCAGACAGTCGATCAGTATGTTCCAGGGGTTTCTTTTGCTGCCCACCGTATCTCTGAAAAGTTTATAGCAGATCAACTGCAGCTAAGAAAAGGAAAAATTCCAGCTCTATAACCTAGGAAAGAATTAGAAAAGGCCCCACCACTAACAGGTTTTACTTCATTTCTCCACCAGGTAAAAGTGATTGCACATAACTAAAAAGTTAGAATGAAAAAGAATGCATGAATGGATTTTACAATTCTAAACAGAGAGAGTATATGATCCAGTTATGTCATAGAAATACTGCAGAAAAGAAAGAGTCAACTCTACAAACAAATGGAACTCTATTCCAAAAAGAAGGAATAATTTCTTTAGGCAAAAGTCACCCAGATAAATTCTAGGAGAAAGAATATTATCATCTGCAGCCAGTATGAAGGTTTAAAGAAGAGAATCAAATAAAAATGAACCAAAGATGCATGTAGACAAGTCTAGTCTAGAAGAAACATTCGCTTGCATTAGTTAAGGTGTAAGGTTTGCAGAGAATCAAACTGAATATGGTTCTTGTCAATGCTCTAATGAATTAATTCCACTTAGTTGGATCACCATTTTCTTCTCTTTTCAATTCTATATGAGTATCATAAAGGTATTGCTGTCAAGTTAGGAATTAGGCATTAGGCAAATTGCCTGGATAATGAATAATCCTCTTGTTCAAAACCATTTTAAGTTTCTCTTCTTCCAGTCAGTACAATAGCCTATATTTTGTAGCACTTGAGTTATGAAATGTAATATGTACAAACACCTAGTATCATCATGGGGCCACCGGCAAAGTTATTTCTCACTTTTGTAGAAAATATTCCATCCAAGGGTAAATCCATGCAACTGAGTTTCATCCATATCCACGATGTGACACATTGTGTGTATTGGACCATAGACCCACATGACAGTGAGACATCATTGGCGCATCGTACACATTGGATTAAGAATCTTTCAAATCCCAAATGATGAATCTTTGGTAAGTCCGAATCACCCAAAAACAGATGCAAATATAGGTTTAAAAAATGTCTAAAGGAATTAAATGGAGGCCCCATATTCACCAGAGATCGAGAACTGGTATGCAATTTTTTGCAAATTACAACACGTATACACAAAATATATATATATCAGAACCTCAAGAAGATTCCATGAAATGAATATCAAGCAGTATGGAAGTAGGAGAGCGATAACGCAGCTCATATTTGGTTTAGCACAACTAACAGCATGCAATCATGATGAAGTTTTACATCTGTAACAAAGACTACTGTCTTAATGATAAAGAGTTGTGCCTGCATGCAACAGCTGAATGCGCATGTGTATGAAGTTTTATTAAGGAAATGGGATGAATGTCGGAAGGTTCGAAGCAAAGCACAGATTTTAAACGAAATGTGAGGACAATTCGAAACTGCAGGTGATCCCAATCCGGAATAGTTCTTTGGGTTTTGCATGCTTGCAGCCAAGGGGGCCAATAGAAAAGAAATACTGCATAGCAGTAAATTCACCATGATAGAGTATATAAAGCTACCACAATAGCATAATGTGAACAAACTACAAAACTATGAGATCATTGAATGAGTTACAACAAGTGGCCTATCCTACATTTGGATCCATTGACTGATTCAATAAGATAAAGGTTACCACAGTGTTCATCCCAAAACCCCCATAGGCCATACGGCTAAATATTTCAGGGGATCAGCATGTGAACATATCACATTACTTGAGAATGATCAAAATGTACCTACTTAATCAAGCACAATTGAAGCAACACAATCTTATTCCTGCGCAATGCTCTTGCCGACGACGCCCTTCATCGGCAAATGTTCCATCTCCGCCTCGGCAGACGCCACCGTGGGCATTGCATCGTACGACCCACCGACGCCATTATGCCTCCTCCCTGTCCCCATCCCCGCCCCGGCGCCGCCGTCCACCCCGCACCACCAAGCCACCCCGAGGTGCACTCCCACGGCCACCGCCGCGACGACCACGCAGTGCACGGACAGCGCGAGGTCCATGAGCGCCACGGCGCGGAGCCTGGCCTCCTCGACGTCGCACCGCGTGGCGGGCGTGGCCACGGCGGCGTCCATGAGGCGGTGGCACCCGGCGGGGACGCAGGCGTCGACGTAGAGGACGAGGCCGCTCTGCCCCACCCAGAGGCCACCCACGGCGCCGGCGCAGGCGAGCGCGGTCTCGGCGAGGAGCCCGCGGTTCGGGGGGGAGATCGCGGCGAGCAGCGAGGCGACGGCCGCGGCGAGGAGGAGGGCCGCGGCGACGTGGAGCGCGTGGGACTGGAGGTCGGAGGGCGGGAAGGAGGCGGCGACGAGGGAGGCGGCGCGGGCGAGGAGGAGGAGGGGGAGGGAGAGGAGGAGGGGGCGGAGGTGGGGGAGGTGGGGGAGGAAGGGGAGCGGGAGCGGGAGGAGGAGGGGCGGGAGGAGGAGGAGGGCGGCGGCGGCGGTGGGGGAGACGGGGAGGAAGGGGAAGGGGAGAGCGAGGAGGACGGGGAGGAGGCGGAGGAGAGGGTGGCGGAGGCGGCGGAGGTGGGAGGAGGAAGGGGAGAGGTGGGTGGTGGCGGCGAGGAGGAGGTGGGAGAGGGAGGCGGCGAGGAGGGCGAGGGAGAGGAGGAGGTGGCAGGCGAGGAGGAGGAGGGAGTCCGCCATTGGTGACCTCACCGCGAGTGGGAGCTCGGTTTCCGGGGTGGTCGTCGTCGTCTATTCTTCTTGGATAGCGACGGTGGTCGGTGGCGACGAACGCGGCGGTGGTGGAGGGGGAGGAGGCTTTCTCAGGTGTGGACACGTGGGCGGTGAAGATTGGAGCGGTTGCTCTTTTCTCATTTTTATTATTTTTCAAGGGAAGGTGTTACTGACTTTTTGCTGTAGTTCTACGGTGGTGTGGTGTTTGGATCAGGATTTAACTTTAGTCATGTATTTAAACACTAATTTAGAGTATTAAATATAAATTACTTATAAAACTAATTACATAAATAAAAGCTAATTCGTGAGACAAATTTTTTAAGCCTAATTAATCCATAATTAGATAATGTTTACTATAGCATCACATAAGCTAATCATGGATTAATTAGGCTTAATAGATTCGTCTCGTGAATTAGTCCAAGATTATGGATGTGTTTTATTAATAGTCTACGTTTAATATTTATTATTAGTGTCCAAATATCCGATGTGATAGAGACTTAAAAGTTTTAGTCCCATCTAAACAGGGCCTACGAATGGTAAGAGCAGGTACAATATAGCAGGTATTTCCTCCGTTTCATATTATAAGACTTTCTAGCATTGTCCACATTCATATATATGTTAACGAATCTAGACATATATGTGTGCCTAGATTCATTAACATCTATATGAATGTGGGCAATGATAGATAGTCTTATATTCTGAAACGGAGGTAGTACAATATAGCTGGTGTAAGCCAGCGATAATCTGTACAGTATAGCTGTCTTTGTTCGTTTCTCCATCAAGGAGGAGATGAAATTTTGGATTCTCGTGGCATGCTTTTCAAACTACTAAACAGTGTGTTTTGTGCGAAAACTTTCCAAATGAAAGTTGCTCTAAAATGTCAGATTGATACATTTTTCAAGTTTGTAATAATTAAAACTCAATTAATCAAACATTATTACCATCTCGTTTTATGTGGAACACTTAATCTTTATCTCCATCTTCATTTTCAGGAGATTCAAACACCAAAAAGTCTAAAAAATTGAGATTGACGAAGCCACCATAGGTGTCTCGCTGTCAACGGGTACATCGCCTATCATTGAAAGCACAATATTTAATTCGTTCCCACCCATGAGAGTCGAACCCAGAACCTAAGGTGTTATTTAGACTTTTGCAACCACTAGACTATATGCCATTTCGCAACGATAATCTGTATATGATGGTAAAAGTGGTGATCTGTATGAGGATTGAGTGGAGAGATGTATGAGGATTGAGTGAAGAGAGAGCAAAAACGGGCGACTAATTTATCGACGTAGACTCATGGGCTTCAACGCGAGTGAAGCAGCATAAGATTCTACTGGCCACCCTGATACACGGCTGCTCTATTCAGTTTTCACGGCAGAAAAGAACGAGTGGATAGGACTAACAATAAAAATGTTAGAATAAAATATTAAGAAGTAAATATGGGTAGATAAGCTAATAGTAACATATTACTGTACATGCTCTCTATTATTAAGTTAACAATATATTATTGGCGTGAATATTTTTGGAGCTAATAGTTGGCATACTATCTCGCTCTAAACAGGAATTGGGATTCTGCAGTACAACAGAGTTTAGTGCAGAGGAAGAACAATTGTGGCTGCATTTAGATCATTTTTACATGCATCTCACTAAATTTTGTGAATTGGATTGTACTCCTTCCATCCGACGCTAATGACTTTTCAAATAACGTTTGACTATTTATTTTATTAAAGAGTAGTAAATTACATTTTAGACCATATTTTATTAGCAATGTTTTATTTTGGATCACCCTTAAACCAATATTTTCATTTTGGACTTAGTAACTTTTCCATTTTTTTTGGGTTTGGACTATCCTCCATTATGGTGAAGATATGGCTTACATATATGATATATGGATAGAGAAATTTAATGGTGTACTGAGACTGATTTGCTTGATTTTTTTGATGGATGCTAAAAAAGTTATTTGCTGTGATCCAAAAAAAAAGATTTTTTTAGGGTAGTTCAAAATAAAACTTTGACAATAAAAGTCTTCAACAATATTGTATGAATATCATTTTATTTTATTTATCAAGAAAACTATAATCTTAATTTACACTTTTACATATTTATTATGCTAAATTTTTAAATATGATAGTCAAATATTATAAAAAAGTCAACACAATCAAGATGGAAGGAGTATATTCCATTACATATGCTACAGTGCAAAATAGTTCATAATGTGATTTTAACAAGTGCATTGTGCGCTATCGCTATCGTTCATAATATTGTAGCCACAGTGCACCTCTACAGCATATTTATATAGCGTTGTCGAGCCACTGGTCCCACAAAGCAAAGAAACATTCCAGTGTTGGAGTTGCAAGAGTTTAAATCTGATCAACCCAAAACAAGCCATACACATTTTTCTATATCTAAAGAAGGTTGAATCGAATAAGGAGAATATGACTCGATCCTAACAAAGATCAATGTCAACGACATATGACTCGATGAAAAGGGTAATTTGATCTGGATTTCATCCTCACTCTGATCTCTCCTCTCATGAGAACTGATAGCTCAGCTATTAACCTTAAATTATGTAAGATCTTTAAATTATAGAACGATATACTTATTAGCCAGCTCTGATATTCGTCCACACTTTTACTTAGAGATGTCAAATTTCCCAGTGCTCTTGTCCATATGATTACCAAAAAAAAAAGAATGTCAACAATACACAGAAACATGATTCGCCCATCAAATTGCCTTTGTGGCCATTAGTGTTTCCTACGAGCTAGCCAATTACGTGGCAAAGCCGCGTGTCTTTTCTAGTTATTTATAATGTACGCGTAGTAGCTATTATTCTTAAATAAAAATTCATAGAACCATAAAAAATACATAAATTAAAATTACATTTATAAGAAACTCATATATATATAGAAGCCTGGGAAGTACTCCGTATGTCGCTGAATTGTTAGTTGTATTCAAAGAAAAGAGCATGCCGCATGCCGTTGAATTGGCCGTATCGTAGGCTTTTGGTCTTGGTTTGCAAGTACCAGTCGCACGTATGTATCAGATAATTTAATACACCAAAACAAATGTTTACTTATTATACCACCTGATAAGTATATCGTCAATATAATTTATTAAAAGAAAAACCATAATCAGCTTAATAATTTGTACTTTTGCTTAAAGAAAGAAAATAATCAAACAAGTTTACTCATCATATGGATATAAATAGGATTAATTAGACACATGCTATTACAAATTTGAAGGTTTGGAAAAATATCATTACTATTCAACAAATTGTAAAGATGTCATTACAAATTTGGAGAAACTGAATCAATGCCACTCTCTACGCCAGAAGCATCATTGTTGACCACGTTTGACTCAACGGACTACCTATACATTTGTCGACAAATTTTCTCTTAAAAATTTGTCAAATGTAAATACAATATAATTGTACTGTAATTACACTGTAACTTACAATAATTACACTGTAACTGTACTATAACAACACGGTAACTATAATAATTACACTATAATTTACATGTAATTACACTGTAAATATAATAATTACACTGTAATTACAGTATAACTACACTGTAACTATAATATAACTTGCATATAAGTGAGATGTAACTTTAGAAAACTTATGTTTGGCACTGCCCACGTGAAAGAGGGATTACGAACTCGCAATGTATGTTTGTACGATACGTGCGGAGGTCATCATTCATGCATGCATGTTCGGCTATGCCCTGCCGCTTTATCTTTGCCCTTCGTCTGTCATCTAGACATCTACGCGTGCATGAGCCACACCTGTGGCCGGCGGCCGGCGAACGTCGAAAGAAACAAATTAAAGCGTCGACATAAAAGCACGAATCCCGAGTTTCATCAAGCGGTTCAAAAATCGACAAATTCTGAGGAAGAAATTTGTCAACAGATTTATAGCAAAACCGCCACGCATTAGGCGGGGTTGGGCGGCCGGCCCAGCTACGGCCCGTGCCGCCCTAACCCTCCGTATCCTTCTTGGGCCGCCTACCACCACATCCAATTCACAATTGGGCCATAAATAACCAGCCCAAGTGTCCAATTTTAATCCTGCTTATGTGATGCTTTCCTGAGTCAATTCCTCGACACTGCTCACCCCCGTCCCCTACTATAGTTAGGTGTCTAATGTTTCTCTCTCTCCCTTCTACACAAAATAATAATCATCTTATTTTGGTAATGCGATATCTTCTCATATATTTATTTTTTAAAAGATATCTATCAAACATTGACTCATATTTGCAAATTAATATGTTTACTAGTATCTTTTTAGAGAATCCATTATATGTCACTGACTTTGTCACCCGTCTACGATTTTAATATATATCTTTTTATGTATAATGAATTATGTATGGCGCAAAAATTATTACTTTATTTTAATATCATTTTTTTTGTTTGCCTTAATTTATTAATTATACTATATGTTCATATGATTACAACATAAATATGGTATTTTTTATGTTTAGTTGTTCTTATTGAGACGAGCATCTTCGTCCCATCTTTATTTTAATCCTGCGTCCGCCACTGGAGTCGGGTCAGCAGGAGCAGCACACATTTTATCCCCTTTCTAGTTCGATTTAGACCTAACCCTACCAGCGACGACGGCGACGTCGTCTACGGCGGCCGCGGCGACGACAACGTCTACGGCGATGGCACGGGCTGCGGCGGCTGCGTCTACGGCGGCGACGTCTTCGGCTCGGCAGCGGCGACGGCGTCTATGGAGTCAGCTTTAGTGCAAGAGTCAGCTCTTGCTGCAAATACACAATATCAGCTTGTACCTTGAGCTGCCAGACATATCCTGAACAGAGCACCTAGAGTGGGAAATTAAATCCACATAATTAACGCACCGAAATTGAATCCACATAATTCATAGACAATGATTAACATTACACAAAATGGCACTGATTTACCTACTTGCACCAAATGTGGCTACAAAATTTACAGAACATATATAGAAATACATAATTATGACCAACAAGAATAACATCACATAAAGTTGTCTACTATGACTACACTTCTCTTCTTTCAACATCTTCTTTAGCTGCTCACACTCATTCTTAGAATCATTCAGCTGCTGATATATATATGGATTGCATCTG